TCTTATTGCTATAGCTGATGGTTTATTATTATTTAAGGTGAGATTAATTAGATTTATTCATTTTATTTTTAAATTAAATTAGAATAAATTTCAATAGAATAATATAAGAATAAATAAATAAATATGTATGTTTAATGTTAGATTCATCATTTATATCGTCAATCGAATGCTAATCTTGAACAAGCACAACTAGAATTTCAATCGGCTTTTGCTAATAAGTAAATATGATTAAATAAAGAAAAATAACAACAAAAATTTATTTTTTTAGTCGAACTGTACGTGGAGCAGCACGAGAAGTTGCTTCATCTGGTATCAATCAAACATAAGTTTTCTATCTTTAATTAGATTTATTTATCTTATGGAAACGTTTATCCAACCAAATATAAAAAGAAACTAACAAAAAACAAAAAATATTTTATTTTATTTTATTTTATTTTCATTTAAAATATTATTATTCAAGATAATATATGAAGAAATTTCAAAATAACTATATTAATAATATAATTATTTTATTCTTTTCTTTTCTTTTCTTTTGTGAAAACATATATTCTTACATTAACAAAAAATAAATATCTTGAGAGATATAATTCATATTTCACATTTGTTTTTTCTTTTTCATATCATATTTACTTTTATATTCATTTATTTAAAAAATATTAACTATAAATTATAATATCGATCTTATTTAGATTTATTTATTTTTATGGATTTAAAATAAATTATGAGAATAAACAAATCTACAGTTATTTATATATAGATTCATAGAATATTTTCATATAAATATGTTTAATATAGATATTTAATTATATGGATTTATATTGATAAAATATATTTAAAACAAAATAAAAAGTGATTCTTTTATTTATTTGTCAACATTAAAGAGAGAATATTATTATAAATATAATTATTCAATTCACATAGCATTAAATAAATTGAGTGACGAATTCAACAGATTTTTATTTATTTTAGGGCAAATAAATCAATATATAATTATTCATACATATAAATATAAATGAAAAATAAAAATAAAAATAAAAACAAAGACATTAGATTATTTGAAAGGATAATAAATGATGAATATTGATGTTATATTATAATATTAATCGATATTAATTGTTATATTGATATTATTTGTTAAATTATTTTAAAATTGAAAGAAAATAAATGATGTAAACTTGTTTATGTTCAACAAATTGAATATGATTTTTAAGGAATATATTTATTGAATATATAATAAGAAGTTGTATTTATTTCTCAATATTTATTTTACATTCTTAAACATTCCGATAATCAATAGAATTTAATTAACAATTAAAATAATAATAAAATTTTAGAAAAAATATTTTCTCAAAATAATCAATGATTAGTTATTGAAATATCTCGATTGTCAATATATTGTTTTTTTCTTCCGATTATACTCAATCTCATCGAAGAAATATTTAACATATTGCACATTTGAAAATAGTTTCAAGATAAAATACTAAACGAAGTTTTGTAAAAAAAAAGTTCTAGTTTGTTTTATTTAATAAGACTTGTTTGGTTGATATTGATTGTCCTCTGTTTATATAGGATATTAAATAAATAGTTCGATCTATATATTGATGATATATTGTATATTGAAATTGAATGATCATCTGAATATCTATAAATAAATAATCGAAAAAAAAACACTGATGTCTTATATTAGTTTTAGTCGATTCAAAATATTGATTAAAAAATCGATATAAAATAATATCTGCAATTAATCATAGAATTGAATAGAATAAACAGAAGCAACGATAATAATTATTAACAGATAGATGAATATTTATTCGTTTAAGAAGTATTTTTTTTCAATTAATTAATAAATGATGTTATTTATATTATTTAATATAGTCGACATTTGTTTATAATATATAGATAGATAAATAGATAGATACAGTTTTATCTTGATTAATAACAATAAGATAAAATAATCAATTTAAGATAATTATATTAGATAAAATTTGTCCTTATTCTATATATAATATATTATATTATTAAAACATATTCATAGGAAATATTTCTGTTTTGTGTTCGTTTTTTTATTCTCTGATTCTTATATCATTTATTATAAACAAAAAACAAATGAATAATCATTAATTAAGTAAATTATTTTCAAATATTTTTTTATCAATCAACAATATTAATATTAATACTATATTTAATTATTGATGGTTAAATCGATCAAAAAAACGAACAAATATATATTTTGTAGTAAGTTTAAATGGATTATTATTCATTAGATATTTTAAATAATAGTAGACTATTTTTTTTCTTCTTAATATTTGCTTAATTATATTTGAATTTTAGTTTAAATAAAATGTTTTATTTTCTATTATTGGTATATCTTAAATAATAAATATTATCATCATTAATTAACAACTTATTTAATTAATATTAAAATTCTATAAATAATATTTATTAGATTTTTATTATTTTATTTATAATAAATTTATCAAAAATAAGCATTAATATAAATAAAAATAATTAATTGATCATTCATTTTTTGTTCTTAATAATAATTCTATATTAAAGTAGACTAAAACAAAATTTATTTGTTTTGCTCTCTTTTTACATAAAAAAAAACAAACAAAATAAGATGATTTTATTGTAAAGTATAATCAAGTGTGCATATATGAATATATTAAATCAATGGTCTAATTAATCTCTTGACAATTAATGGATTAATTATGATTATATTTAATAAGATATAAATATAAATATAAATATATTAATTATATCTCGAGATCGAAATTATTCATACTCGATAAAGAGTAAATAGATGCCTTCTACTTTATATATTTGACTTGTTCATTAAGCAATAATGTCAATAACTAGTCTTGGTTTTTTTTCTTCGATCGTATATTATATGAAATAAATAAATCTAGTATATGAGTTGAAGATATTTCTTAAAGTCAATATATGTTTATAGGTAAATCTTAACGTTTTTTTCTTCTTTTTTTACAAAAAAATATTTCTTAAAAGAATATTATTTTCAATTGATTAAATTCATCGAACGTTTCTTTTTTATTCGGATTTCAATAAATAATTTCTATCAAGGTCTTTCTCTCTCTTATACAAATAAATCACTTTTTTTTTATATTAAACGATTTACTTTTATTATTTATAATTTAAGATATTTAATAAATGAAAATCATATTTATTATAATAATAAAATACTAATTTAATCAAATAAATGATTCATGATCGATTTGTATGTCCAAATGATCGTCAATTAGAACTTCGATCAAAGTAAATTTATTTATTATTTATATGTAACCATAGAAAGATAAATTTAAAAAATATGTTAGAATTAATTCAGGTTGGTCATATTATACTTATATTCAATCAATAATTCCTCAATATAATAATAATATTATAAATAATAATCTCAATCAAAAATCTTTAACTGATCAGGAAATCGAACATATTAAAAATGTTCTTAAACGTGATCAACGTATTCAATATATTGAACAGGAACGTATTGGGTAAGATTTAATTATTATTATTATTATTATTATTATTATTATTTCATTTTAAAATAATAAGTAAATTAATTGATCGTCTTAATAAAATGAAAAAAAATGCAACTGGTAATGGTTTAACAGAATGTATTTTATGTTCGAATAAAAGAGGAATATTATCACGATCATTTGTTTCATGTTTTGATTGTAAAAAAGTAATATCAATTTAATTAAAAGATGAAACGATTTTAAAATTCTTCTTATTTAATATTAGTTAGTATGTTATTATTGTTCAATTCAAACACATTTTAATCAAAATATTATATCATTATGCAAGATTTGTAGTGAAAATCGTCAAGTTAAGTTTGCTTTTTCTTTTTCTTTTTATCTAATTAATCAATAATAATTTTTTTTTTGTTAAATTCTTCTTTAGTTATGGAAAAAATCTGCTGCTTGGTTTTTTCGTTCTTTACCTAAATGTTCAAATCTTCCCTTAAATATTAATTCATCTCCATCAATTATATCATCACAATATATCAAAACAAGTTAGTTAACAACTATTTATATACCTATATATATGTCACCGACTAATATCAGATCAGTAGAGAAGTTTTTAAATCGATGTTCTGCTTTAATTCTTGTTGAATTAATCATATTTAAGAAATAAAAGTAGAATTTGTTAATTTATCAATGATGTACATCGATAGATATATATATGCATTATTTAACGAATGCTACTTTTATTTCTGCATGGATAATTGTTTTATCTTAAGTATCATTATTTTAAGAGTACAGAAAACTTTAACCAAAGTTTGTTTCTTCATCGGATATTGAACGCTAACATATATTCAATTGTTTATAGGTGATTATCAATCGATACATAATCAATCAAGTTTAAATGATGACGATGACGATGACGATTCGATTTCGGATCGATTTAATAAATAATGTGCATCTTGAAATGGTTTTTTAAAAAAAAAAAAACTCAATTAATTTAATTTAGTAATGTAAAAAACAAAAAACCGAGAAGCCTGATTTAAATAAATGTTAACGCCATCTTTAATATAAGATAAAAATTCTAAGAATAATTGAAAGGTTGTTGCATAGAAACTTCTATAGAATAGAAAAAAGGAAACGATTATTAATCAAAGAAAAAAAAAAGAAAAATGTTAAACGAGTAAATATATAGAATAAATCGAATGGATCAAGTTCAAGTATTATCAGCTGTTTGTAAAAAACTAAATAATGATATTGAATCATTAGCTAATCAAACATCAATTCGTGAATCTGCAATAGCAAAATTAGATTCTAATCAACAATCATATGATGAACAATTACGTCAATTAAATATTGATATACAATTAAAATTATCTAAAAATGATTCTATATTACAAAAATTACAATCCGATGTTGAACAAATTTCACATGGACTTCGAGATATAATTAATAGTCAACAAGATACAAATAGATCAAGTGTTCAACGTTATCAAGAATTAAAACTTGAAGTAAATTTTAAAAAAAGAAAATTTCTTTTTGTTTTTTCTTTAATTAATAAAATAAAAATTTGAAATAATAGATAACAACATTAAGTCAACGTCTTGATAGAATATTTAGTGAACAACAAATTGTTTTACGTACATTTGAAACAGATACAGCACGAGCTCTATCAACAGCTGATTCACGTTCACGAGCTTTTGTTGATGAACTTCGAAATCAAATATTTCAAAGTAAAACTCAAGAAGATACGGAAAGAGAACGACAAGAACAAAAAATTAATCAAAAAATTGATGATATTAAACGATCATTAGATAAATATGTATTACATCTTTTCTTTTTTCTCTGATATATTCTCTATTTTTTTAGGAACGATTAGATAAAAGAATTGATGATGCAATACATCAATTTGAAAGAAAAACCGCATCATTAGAAGATCATTACAGACGAGCTATATCAGATTTAACTAGAAATAATGAAGTTTGATTTGTTGTTGTTGAAAATGAACTAATTAATATATTATTATTTATTTTAGTCTGTTGAACAAACTGTTTATAAACGTTTTGATGATAAATATCAAAAGACAATGTCAAATTTAGAAAAAGTTAAAAAAGAAATGCGAACTTGTTTTGAATCACTTGAAGGTTCAGTTAAAACATTACAACGTATTACTGATGGAAGAATTAAAGTAACTGAAGATAAATTAGATAAAGAAATCGAAAAACTTCGATCTATGATTGTACTTATTTAATAAAACAAAATTTCCTTTTTTTCTTTTTTTTTTTGTTCGATATTATTTTCAATATTGAAAGACTATATTTCATTTATGTTTATGCTTTAAATAAAAATAATCAATCTATCATTTTAATTTAGTTTTCTTTTCTTTTCTTTTTTTCTCATTTTAATATTAATTAAATTGAATTTATCTCATATATATATTCGTTAATTATTTTCTTTTTGTAAACAAGTTTCTTTTTTTTCTTTTTTCAATTTAATTATTAATTATTATATATGTATATATATTAAATGTTTAACAATAATAATCTTATCTGCCGGAATTATCTTTTTTTTTTATCTTTCAATTTTATTTCGGCTTTTGTTTTTTTTTTTTTTAAAGATTTTTATTTGTTCATGTTGTTTTAATTCATTAAAAAATTATTATCCTTAGTCATGATTATTCTATATGTTATTTCGAAGGTTATTAAGTTTAATTGAATGAGAAAGAAAAAAAAAACCAATTTCCAAATAATAATTATTATTCTAATTGACTTCGTTCACTTTATACAAACAAATCATTTCTATTGAATGGATTTCAGTTTTGTTTTTTTTTGTTTTAATTTTATTTATTAATTTAAAAATAATTTACTGAAAAAAGAAAAAGAAAATAATCACAGTAGTTAAGAATCCTATGAATAAATATATTGTTTCCTTAGAATAAAAAGATAAGAATATATTATAAAAATATCTAAAAGAAATAAAAAGTTAAGTTAAACTATTTATAAACCAGCTTCGTAGAATTGTTTAAATTCGTTTGCATCAAGAGTTCCATCCTTATTCTTATCAACAATATTGAAAGCAGCAGCAGCAACATCAAAATTCGTAGCACCTCCTGATGAGTCATATGATGATGAACTATATCCGGTTGGTAGACCAGCAGCAATACCATATTGACCAACAGATCCTATATTAGATGACGAATATAATGAAGATTCATTATTTAATGAACCAAATCCACCATCAGCTCCAACTCCTTCAATTAGACCACTTTCATAATTAGCACCAGTCAAACCTTGTTTTATATAAATTATAAAATAAAATAAACAAGAAAACTTTTTGTAATACCTGTTCCAATCATTTGGGAATTTTGAAAAGATCCAGTGGAGAACGATGATCGAATTCCTCCTAATGTTCCACCAGCAACATCAACTAAATCAGATCCAGAATAACTAACACCACCACCACCACCTAATGATGATTCTTGACTAAATGATGATGAACTAATTTGAGCTGAAACAGCACCTGATGGTGGAGACTAAATAATATAAGTAGATTTTAGATAAAATAAAAACAAACAAAATTATTATTATTATTATTATTATATTAAAAATCAATATATAAACACATACAATATCTTCAACAACACCAACAGCACGAGCTTGTTGAATAAGTGTTTGAGCATCAAGTAATTGTTGTCCATAACGTTGAGTATATAATTGAGGATTTTCTTGAACAACACCCAAACGTTGAAATTGTCGGACAACCCGAACTTGAACTGGTTCATATTGAATAATAACATTACGTGGTTTAGGATATTCTTTAGCTGATTCAGCACGTTGAACAATTGTCTTTCGTTTAATAAATGATTCATAAGGAATCCAACGTTCAATAATAATATCACCTAGTATTATTTTAATTAATTCAAATAAATAAATAAATAAATAAATAAATAAAATACTAACGTGGTCGAGGTGGAGCTGCTGGAATACGTTCAATAATTACTGATCGAGGTGGAACAGGTAAAGCAGGAAGTTTTCGAATAACTGTTTGAGATGATTGAGAAGGTGGTGGTGGAGGTGGACGTTCACGAAGTATCAATGGAGGAGGTTGTGGAACAGGTGGAGCTTGTTGTCTTATACGAAGAGGTGGAGGAAGAGGTGCTTGGGATTCTCGAACTTCTTTTATTATAAGTGGCTACAATAGATTTAATTATTATTTAAATATTTATTCAAAAAAAAAAACAAAATAAAATGAATTACGCCTGGTGGTGGAACAGGTGGTGGTTGAAGAAAGCGAACTTGAATGTTTTGTGTATAAGTTTGAACACCACCTGGAGCTGGTCGACGAATTATTTGAGGATTTGTATCAAAAAAAAGTCCAGCACCTCTTACTTCAGCACCATATTTTGACCAATTAGCATTTGTTTCAGCTGTATAGTTAGTAGCTTGATTTATTGATGTATCATCAAAGCCAAGATTAGTTCTTGTTTGAAATGATGATTGAATATTTGATCCATCAATAATATTATCAGCAGTATCAAGAGTAGTAGATGATGAACCAGTTATTCCACCATCAATACCACTATATAAACCATGACCACCTAACAATGATGATATATTAGATGAATCATATGAAGATGATTGAAAATTAGTCGATGCATCTCCTGAACCATTAACAACACCACCACCACCACCACTTATATATTGTCCATGAGAAAGATCACCAGCATCAGCATTAGTACCAGTACCATCACCAGCGGCTGAAACCCATTGTTGAAATTCTTGTCGATCAACAGCACCATCATGATTTACATCAACTTGATTAAAAATAGCTTTTGATGCATCAAAATGTGCAGTAGAAGGAGTTGTTGATGATGAATATGATGAATATTCGTAATTAGTCATTTATTCGATAAATGTATATTTTGTTAAGAAGAAGAAAAAAAAAGTCTATTAAATAATGATGTTCGAACTAAATCAGTATTTATATAGTATATATTATGTTATATAACATTTAGTTATTTCTCTCGTTGTTCACCTTCTCACCCAACATTGATCATAGACGTTATGGTTATGGCCTTTAATGATGCGTATCAATTATGATACAGTCTTCTTCTTCTTCTTCTTCTCCATTTCTTTTTTTTTTGTATCGAAATATTTTGAATATTTGTGATGTCCTTAAACGTAATGGTAGAAAAGAACCCGAAGTTAACATCGAAAGTTATTGGACACGTCGTAGTCGAGCAACCACTAAACCACACATCATATATAATTATTTATTTGAAAAGAAAAAGGAAAGTAAATGATATTTCGATATTTGAAATGAATATGAAGTGACAAGTATCATCATTCTATGATGTCTATTAATGTGAGGAAAAAAAAAGAAAATGTATTTTAATATACATTTCTATGATTATGTTATCAAGGTTAATATAACATAAGAATATAATAAACACAAGAAGAATAATTCTTCGAATATAAAACTTGATTATATTTATTTTAATTTATTATTATTATTCAATATTTAATGAATAATTATAGTTTTGAATTATTTTTTCACAATGAGAATAGAAAAAGAAAAAGAAAAAGGAAAAAAGTATAAACTATGTAAAATGTTTTGATTGATTTTGACGATATTCTAAAATATGATTTTCGTTCGATGGTTTTTTTAAATCTTGATCGATGATAAATTTTTCACAATTGTTTATTGATCGATTAGGTTTTGAACTATAATAATAATAATTATTGGTATTTAATGATTGATAACGTTTACTTTTGAAATTTTTTTTCATAAGAATTGATGATGATGATGTTGATGATGATCTTTTATTATTATATTCTTGAATATTTATTGATTTTATTCGTTTTTTATGAGAATTTTTTTTTATTAATGAATTTCTTGAATATTCTTCAGTTTTTTTATTTTTTATTTCTTGTTTACTTAATAATGGGATATTTGTACGAGTATCTGTTAATTCTCCATCTATTTTACCTTTATCAATACATGGAAAACATTTATAAAGTTTACGAAATTCAATATTAAATCTTGCCTAAAATATAAAATATAAAAATAAATTATTCAATAAAATGATAAAATAACATTGAACAATAATTATCTTGAATATATGTTTACACAACATTATTTATTAATATATTATTTTAAAATTAATCTCGAATTTATTTCGAATATTTATTATTATTATTAATAATAATAGCTTAAAGGAGAATAAATATATTGTTGATTTATCTTATTCTATATATACGTATTTAATGTTAACAGATATGTTTTTAATAACCTCGAGCTCAATATGAAATGTTTCAGTTTTTTTCATTGATAAATAAATAATAAAGAGAAAGAGAAAACCTACACTACAAAATCCATAAATAAATGGATTATGACATGAATTTGACATAGCAAGCCAATTGGCACATAACCATAAAACAACAATATGTTTAAAACTAAATATAAAATAATAAATTTATTTTTAATATAGAAATAAATAAATAAATAAATACTCATTTATTTCAGGTTTGTATAGATTAAGAAAATTATATAATTGTAATGGAAACCAACAAATAAGAAATAATGCCACAACAACAAATAACATTTTTAATACCTTAATTAATAAAAAGAAAGAAAGAAAGAAAACAAAACAAATAAGAATAAGAATTTTATTATATTAATAACAAATCTCATTCAGCCTTTTTTTTTTTTGTTTAATAATAAATATAAATTCTATTAATTATTCTTACTTTACGTTTATTTCGTGTAATAACTTCTTGATATTTTGTTTGTCCAACTGGTTTAGAAAAATATAAATGTGATCCAATACGAAAATAAGCACAACTTATTATAATAAATGGTATAATATATTGTGAATATATATTATAAACAATATATATTTTATGTTTATAATAAGAAGGATTATAATTTATTTTAGTTGAATTAAAATAAATATCTTTTTCATATTTATATGGTAAACATTGATAACCAAAATCATCTATTAAATAAACATTATAAAAAATTAAACTTGGAATTGATGATAAAAATGCAATTAACCATATTATTATAAATATAATTAAGGCACTTTTTAATGATAATTTCGGTTTTAATGGATAAATCATAACATAATAACGATCTAATGATACAGCAACTAATGTATAAATTGAAACATCAACTGATAGAATTTGAAAAAATGGTGCTAATTTACAAAGTATATGTGGTAATACCCATTTTTGTAATGCTGCTGCTTGAAACTATTTTTAAAATAAATAAATAAATATTTTAACTTCTTAAGAAATAAATTCTTACTTGAAATGGAACTGCAAAACAAGCAACAAGACAATCAGCTAAAGATAAATTACATATAAAATAATTAGTAACTGTATGCATTCGTCTATTTGATAGAACAATATATATTATTGATGAATTACCAATAAGAGCAAGAATTGATATTATTCCATATGCTAAACTTAATAATATTATTTGATATTGTTCTGGTATTAAATTTTTTGTTATATCAGCAGCAGTTAATGTTACATTTTTTTCAATATTAGATTTTGATAAAAATAAATTATTATTATTATTATTATCATTTAATAATGAGTCATTCATTGAATCCATTCAATTTCATTATCTTATTTATTTACATTTTCATATCTAAAAAAACAAAAAACATATCAATTTAAACAAGATTTTATTTATTTCTATATCTAGAAAATATATTATTTTCTATTCATTATTGTTTGTCTATTATTATCAAATAGAATAAATTATGAATTGTTTATCCTAACATCATCATTATTAACTAATACTTATATTGACGATAGAAAGAGAAAATAATTATAATAAAATCTTTGGTATTATTTATTGAATAAGTTAATTTATTTTCATATTTTAACTATTAAAAGAAAATTGATTTCGATAATTAAGATCGATTGAACTTTTAAAAACTTCTTATATATTATGTTTCATCTATTTATATATTAATAGAGAGAGAAAGAGAGAAATAAAAATAAATCTTTTATTCTTACCGAATATTAATAATTAAGTGTTATTATTGAAAGATATATTCTATTAAGTGGTTATGGAGGCGTTATATAAATATTGAAAATAAGAAAAAAATAACAAAACAGACAGTAGCAACTGTTGTTAAACATTAAAAAAAAACAGGAAATATATTGAAAAAGGAAAAACTAGTAGCATCGCATATAAATAATCTGTTATAGAATATAAATATACGTAGAAAATAATTCTCAAGGATAAGATTTTTCATTAAAGAAAAAGGAACATAGATGTTATCGAAAAAGAAAACGACATATGGATATGTGTAAATATAACTCTCACTTGTTATCGTCTGTCATATCATATAAATATCGTCTTAGTGGATAGGTCGGCATTTTCTTCAACATAATGATTGACACCAAATGGTATTATCATTATAATAGCTTTAACTTAACTATATATATTGAATTAAATACTGACAGAAAACAACTATATTAACATTGAATGATAATATATTGAAATTTTCACATTTATTTATCTATGTCAATAATAAATTAAATTTCTTCATCAATTTTCTTAGGACTAAACTAGAATCGAATATATTTTCAAGTTTTTATTTTCAACAATAATACTTAACTTTTTTTTTTATTTTATTTGAAAACTCAATTGAATTAAAAGAGATACTTTGCTTTTATTCAATTATCAATCTTTACAAAAGATAATAATAGATATAGGAAAAACAAAAAGAAGAAAAAAACACGTATATTATTATAATAAATCGTCGTCATCGTCATCGTCATCATGATCATCTTCATCATCAGTCAATCGAAAATAACTATTCTTATTATAGAATTTATCATTGTTGTTCGTCTAAAATATATTATATTTAGTTGATCGTTGATTTGTTGATGACGTATGTTAAGAGAAAACGAGTACACTTCTACGTCTCATACGATATATTTATTTCTATTAGATTATCCTTTTCTATGATCGACAACAATGAACAAGCCTTTTTTTTTCATTGATTCATTCATTGATTGATTCATTCATATATCTATATATAAGTATATGATTAACTTCTACTTACCTTGGTTATAATATAAATGATTGAATTTGGTTTCCTCTTTGAATAGATTTAAGAAAGAGAGGGAAGCCTTATTTTTAATCTCGACCAATCATGTAACAATATTCTCTTTGAAGGACATTAGATATTCACTTGAGGATAAACTATTCTCTTTTGAGATTACATTTTCAATAAAAAAAACAAAAACAAAAACAAAAACCAGTTCGAGATAAATATTTGTATAGAAAATGAATCTATGTTGTTATATATATATAAATAAGGTTAAAAAAAAAAGAATTCTTTTTCAATATGAATGAGTAAAATAGATGAATTGTTTTTCTCGAATAAAAATAACAAAAGAAAAATTTGTTATTTATTCAATTCCCAAATGAACAAGATAAAAGACAAAAAATGAACTGTAAATATTTGACTTATTTAAAATAAGTTGTATTCATCTGTTGAATTTTTTATTTATAAACGATTGTTTACTATATTAATCTTCTCAATTAATCTCAATCTGATTATATCTGTTTAACCATATCATACCTAGATTTTTCATAATACATCAAAATAAATCTTATTCAACCACAACTTATTAACATTATCCCAATGGAATTTTGTATTTTTATCTATATATACACGATTAAATTACTTTAATTTAATTTAACAATTATATATTCAACCATATTTTTAGCTTTATTTTTTTATTTTTATTTTAAATAATTTTTTATAGATATAAATGTATCTCTGTATTATTAACTAATAATAAAATAAATATAATCATATTTATATAAAGATAATTGAATTAATTTACTAAATATTCATTCAGGTTTTATTTCTTTTATCATAATTAAAATTATTTTTACTTTTTTTCTTTGTTTTCTCTTAAGAATTATTTATTTAAAGATCCGATTTATAATTTGATTGATGTTCATTTCTTTAATAGATAAATATATTATATCAGTTATAATTATCTTTTTCTTTGATCAACAATTGATTTCTATCAATTATATTTCCAGATTAATTTATTTTGGCAATACTTAAAACTCTTTTTGTTTTTTTATTAAAGTCTTCCTCCTCTTTAAAAAAACAAAAAAAGTCATTTTTCCTTAATAATGATTGAAATTAAGATAAAGTGATAGAAACGATAGACTGCCATCTGATCTATTGTAAATGCCAAAAAATTTTAGAATCTTTTTTTGTTTTTCTATACCACCTGCTCGAAAAAAAGCTCTTTTCAGAAAAAACAGAAAATATTTTCGGTTGTTTGAATGAACATGTAAATATGCTCTGTAGGAAAGGGTTATTTTATATAATCATATAAGAAAGAAAAAAAAAATCTATGAAAACTTATCTAGTTTTCGCTTTAAAAATAAATCTATCGAAAAACAAAAACAAAAAAAAAGACTCTTTGCTACCCTGCATATTGATATACTCTTTTAAACAAAAAAAATAAAATATGTTATACGAGTTTTGACAGAGAATTTTTGTTTTGAAAAAATGCACCAAAAAAAGACACACAAATAAATTCTTATGAAATAATTGTCAATTGATATAAAATAATATCTTTCTATGATTAACTTGTTAAACATAATAATAATAATTAAATAGAGATGAAATAATTAATATTTTATTGAAAATTTATATATTAGTGTTCATTTTGTTTCAACTCTAATCATATAATAAAACTATTATTATCTTAATAATTAATTGATGATTATAAAGGAAAAAGTGTTTATCTCGATAATAAATATAATTAACAACAATTATATTTATTTTATTTTTTCGATAATCAATATATTTGACAAATAATTCTCAATATATTTCTTCTTAATAAAAATTATTTTATTTGATCAGTTTATATATATATAGAAATATGTTCGAATGTTTATTTCATATATATATTGACATTTATTATTGAACCTTTAAATTAATTAAATAGAAAAAGAAAAAGAAAAAGAAAGTTCTAATTGGATATAAATATAAACCAATGAATATAGATCGATCTATTTGTTTATTTTCGTGTATATATAGAGATTAATAAAAAAAAGAATTGTTTTGATTAAAAACAAATAAATATTCAATAAATTAAATCGAACGATATTAATTATCTATGAATATTTCGTGTAGTTGAACAAGCATTTCGGGTAAGTTAATATTATATTTAATTAAAATATATATTCAACAATTTATTTTCTTTATATTAATTATAATAATAGAATTTATTTTATCGATTTAATTATTTTATTTATATTTATTTCTATTTAACCTTTATATCAATAAATAAATAATGAACTTTTCTATTATATATAAAATTTAATTTCAAAACTAGTTCGTCAGTGAACACGATGAAAAAAAAACATAGATCAGATTTAAAATATAGAAAAAGAAAAAAAAACAGGAAATATTAAAATATAATATATTCTTTTAAATCGTTTATCAAATAATAATTAACATTCTTATACAATTCAATATAAACGAATAAATAGATCAATTATATATATGTCCTAGTTAATCTTGCTTATTATATTAAATTTGCTAAGATTTATTATTGATTTAAACAATTGTCTTATTATATATAGTTAAGTTGGCTTTTTTTTTTTGAGAAATATTTTGATTATTTTTATTGAATAACTAAATCGAAATAAATCTATTTATATTAATATATATTAATTAAGATTGAACTTCGATAAATATCCAAATATAAGTATTTATTATTTATTAATGGAAATAAATTTAATGTTAAAATAAAGTTCGTTATATATATTTATTTTAGTTAAGAACTATATTAATATAGATTTTATTTTATAGAAGTTAAATAGAATTCGAACAATAATATATGTTTCGCTTTTTTTTCTTTTCTTTTGTGAATATAATATTATTTATTTATTTATTGATAGTTAAGATATGGTTAAGATTTATAAAATGTTCGATAAATAAATATTATTTTGAAAAACAATTGATTAAATTTCATTTTTAAAATAAAAATTGTTGTTGTTGTTTTATAATTGAGAATACTAATATTATTTGAAATCTAATGTTAAATGTTAAATATAATAAGATAAATATATTCGATTTGTTAAACTATTTCGATGATTATTTTAATTTTAAAATATTGTTTATAATAGATTGTTTATTATTTTCATTAATATATATACTGAATATTAAAATAAATATATTTATCGAACAACATTTTCATTATTAATATTAACAAAAATTGATTTTTATTTAAAAAATAAGAAAGTTAATATTAACAAAAATAAACAATTATTTTAACATATTTATTCAATAAATTATTTTCCATTAATATATTAATAACATCGATAGAAAATCTTATTATGAAATCAATTCTTTTTTTTTTGTTTTTCTAATCAATGTAAACGTCGAATCATGTTGAATTTATCTCAGGTTACTTAATTAGTCAATATAAATGATAAAAAAGAGCTCATTTTTCAAATTGAAATAAAGAGAAAATGATCGTGGAAATAATAACTGATTAAATTTCAATTAATGAAATTCGAGAATAATAAATCTCAATTGAATATATTTAACAGAATACATTATTATAACCAACACACCATTATTAAACATTTATTCATATATATTTATATATAGATTTATTATTGAATATTAAATAATAATAGTTTTATATTTGTTTGAATATCTATATATTTATTAATAAATTTAAATTCTATTCAATTAAGGGCCTCTCTCCCTACCTCACAAACTAACTTTGTTATTTTTCATCCGATTTCAACCAAAATTTCCGAGAATGTTAGTCTTGACTAGAATAGATTATGATTAAAATATCTCTCACAAATCTCAAATAAATGCATAAGTTCTAGTCAATTCATTATCCCTTACGCGGGCAAGGATTTTACAATAAAGATACGAGCTAACAAGTTCGTACGATTTCCAAGTTGTTGAGTACCCTTAGGGCCAGGACTTAACAGGATCCGATTTTTGAATTTCCCTTTATTTGATTTTTAAAGAACGTTTTTCGAAAAATATTCAAATTCGAGATGCTAATAGAAATGAATTATCGAAGTTTTTTATTTTAGAAAAAGAGAAATTTAAAAATCGGAGCCTGTTAACTCCTATCCCTACATCTCTCCTATATAATAAAAACAAAATTATTACTTCCATGTCGAATCGTCATGGAGAAAAACCTGCCCGCTTAAACTTCATGACAAAAAAAACTGATTTTGAGAAAAACGAAAAAAAAGTTTTTAATAATCTTATTTTTTTCAATATGGGGGCTTGGAAAAACCTATGTAATATCCTTAAATATCATGATAAAATCAATCAACTATAGTACATTCGAGAGTAGACACAGTTAGCTCTATATAATCAGTTATAAATCACAAAATCGATAAATTTGACTAAAATTGACTTTTCTGAGGGTGGTAGCCCCCCCCCCTTAAATACTTTTATATGTATATATATCATAGTTTTATATCGAACTATTTAAACTAATATTAATTAATTAATTCATGATAAAATAAATTTGAGTAGAATAGAACCTATAGACAATTCTTAATATTCATTTTCTCAATTTTTAATTATTATAATGATTAATTTTTAAAATTAGCAAACAAATTCAATATAAAATAAATAAATGAAGAATAATTTTTATGATTTATATATATATATATATTTGATAATGATAGTTGTCAATCGATTTAATTGAATAAGAAAAGAAAAGAAAAGAAAAGAAAAGAAAAGGATGAAGATATATATTGTTTTGAATAGATATTTATTTAATAATTAAATATAATAATATGATTTATTAAATGAAAATAAAATAAAATAAATGAATAAATAGTTATTGTTTTTTTTTTAAATGAATGTGTTTTATTTGATTAAAATATTATGTTAAAATACAAAAAGCACTTGTTTTTTTTTGTGTTATATTGGTTGGATCTGTTTGAATATATTTATAACGTTTAATATCAATTGATTTAATTAAATCATTTTTAATATCAATATCAGCTTTACGAAAATGTTCCGATTGTAAATGATCATCAAATGCATCTTCATTTTCCCATGCTCCAATAAATGTAAATTGACAATTATCTGATAAATTTTCAAATAATTTATATTTTAAACAACCATCTTCTTTACGTGCTAATTCAACAATAGTTAATAATATTTGACGAACTTTTTCCAATGATTCACATTTAACAAATAAATCCATAACTGTATGAATAACTGATGGAGACATTAGACATCAACAATCGATTTTTCTTCTTTTTATTATATTTATATTCATACAATTAACATTATACTAAATCAACTTTGACAAGATTTGACAACTACGTTTTTCTTTTTTCTTTTTTCCTTTTTTTTTTTTTTTCTAGTTAATTCTACGGATGTCAAGTAATGTGTGAGATAAATAATGAAATCTCGAATAAGATTCAACCAACATATCTCTCAAATAAACAAGAAGAAGAAGAAGAAGAACTAGAAAATATATTGTTCATTTCCATGACATCCGTCATTCTTATTTATTAAGAAAGAAAGAAAGAAAAAAAAAAAAAAAGGTAATAATATTCTAACGTTTTCTTTTTCTCGTTTGAATAAAGTTGCACTTTCTTCATTCTACAATGAATTATATTTAACCTTCGAACAATCTACTTATTACACACACATCATACACTTTTTCTTATTTCTTCCCCGTGCACTATCTTTAATCATCTTATAGACGCTTTTCTTTTTCTTTTTTTCTTCTCATCATTTTTTTTTTCTATAAGTTGACAAATGTAAAGTCGAGAATTGAAAATATTCTCTGGATTATGAAAACTTTTTTATCATCATCGATAAATAAATTATTATCGATAATAACCGAATTATTTTTCAATATTTAACATATGAAAAGAGAAGATAATAATGAATTTTTATTTTTTGTCATCTATATCAATTAAATTATAAAGAAGAAAAAACAAAAACAGATTTTATTTTAAAGAATTTTCAATAATATTGTAATAACAGCAAAATAAAAAAGAAAAACAAAAGATATGTTAATATAAGTTAACATTGAACTATGGTAAGAGGAAAAAAAAACGATCTATTCGATTATTAATATATTAATATTATTTAAACAAGTTAAATATTTTAATAGATTTTTCTTAATTAAATAATTCTTTCTCTTTTAAATGATTATTGTAAAAAATGTTCAATTGGTATATATATTGAATTATTTGTTCGAAGATGATAATAATAATAAAATATTGTTTGTAAATAAAGATAATAATCAAAATAAGATATATTTATATCAATATAATTATTTTGATCAACAAAATATTGATTATAATTATAATTATTTAATTTATATTTATCTAATAATAAATAAATATAATTAAATTGATTATTTAATATTGATGAATAATTTAATTTATTTAAATCTTTTATTTTATTATAATTATGTAAAAATTGACAACGATTTGAATATTTACAATAACCTGTTATAAAATTTCGACAAATTTCAGTTTTATATTTTGGATGTCGAATTCTTGAACGTAATTCTTTTATTCCATGAGCAAATTGACAACGAGATGAATATGAACAATATCCATTTGATGAATAATTTCGACATAATTCGGTTTTATATTTATCTATATTTATTAAAATAATCAATAAATAATTTTCTGTTCTTTTTTTTTTTTTTTAATTTCTTAACTTAACAATTTTCAGATTGATTTTTTGATGATATTGATTTATTTATTTCATTTAAATTAATAAATGATATTTTATTCTTAATTGATGAAGCTAAACTAGTTCCTGGTTGAGGTTTATATTGAGAAAAATCTTTTTCTTTTTTTATTAATAATATATATATATATATTATATTGAAATAATAATTACCTGATTTTAAATATTCAATTGAATTCATTTATAAATAAATTAATAAACAATTAATTATATTTCTATTAAATATACATATATTATTATTGTTAAATATAAGATAAAATAAAATAAAATAAAATAAATATATAAAGGAATTTATGATTTAATAAATGAATATAAATTGTTTTATTTAATAAAGCGCTTATTTAAATGTCGAGATAGTAACAATGATTTATTTTATATTTAGATGAATGAATTAAATTCAACATTAACATTAATAGATATATATGATATTCAAATATCAAATAGTGAACGACGAAATTCATCTATTGCAATACAAGATTCTTATATTGTTTATTTAATTGAATGCCGGTCTTTATTTTATTTTAAATCAATTTTTTCTTTTTTTTATTTATTATAGAATTTATTTTATTTTAATATAGACCAAGAACATCAGTATCATCTAATAAAGATATTCAATCATCTTCTGTTTTTCGTCGATATTCAGATTTTGAAACATTACGTAATTATCTTGTTGCTAAATATTCATGGATTGTTGTACCTGTTTTACCTGAAAAAACAGTAAGCAGAACAATTTTTTTGACAAAAAACAAAATAAATATTTCTAAAGATTTCTTATACATGGTCAAAATCACATCAAGATCGAACAAGTGTAGAAGTTGTTGAACGACGACGAATTTTACTTGAAGTTAAAATAAAATCTAATAAATAAAATCTAATATTAGTTTTTTTTTGTTTTAGCGTTTTATTCATGATTTATGTTCTCATCGAACATTATCATCTGATACAGCAGTTAAAACATTTTTACTTGATAATGATCAATGGAAACATATTGTTGATACAAGTCATCTTATTAATAAAGTAATACATATATATATATATATACTAGCGAGAACCCGTGCATACTATACGACTGTTTTCTCCTTTAATGTATGACCTCAGAGATTTAACTTTTCATCCAGTAAAATACATACAGACACTCGATATTATCTATATAGATAGGTTGCCCTACGACCTCATACTCTCATATCGCACATATTTTTATAGTCCATGTAGCCTTATCTCCCTATTGCCTTACTTCCTTCAGGACCTATGCGTATCACAATATAGTAGCCCTTGAGGACCTATGGGTACCCCCATAGGATAGCCCTGGAGGACCTCTAAGTCCCCATATAATAATCCCTGTAGATCTCCCCCGTTATAGCCTTATGTGACCTTTAACCCGGCACAGACAGACAGACAGACACTGAACATTATAATATAGATACTAAATATAATCAATGAATTGATTTCGAAAATATTTTCAGTGAGATAAATCGATAAAATTCTCTTTAATATTGTTTAATTGATTGAATAACATAGAAAAAGAATTTATTTCTATAGATGATTTATAAATAATATTGAAAATATATTTTGTTAACTAAATAAATAGTTATAAATTCCTAAAAACAATTGAATATATCTATTTAAATATTTAGTCGGAATCGTTAATACCTTCATTTAAACTCAATTTAATGCAACATGAAAGAAGTAAAGACAAGTATGTTAAACAAACAACTAAATATAAATCTTATTTTTTTTTATTTTTATTTTTAAGACGATTTATTGATGCATATCAATATGCAACAGATTTAAATCAAGTATTACATTGTGTTCTTCGAACACGTGCTGTAAGATAATTATTTTATTTATTTGTTAAAATAAAATAAAATAAAATGCTAATATATAGAAATTAGCTGATAGAATATATCAATTCTATTTATCTCATAATCAACTTGGTCGATTATTTAGTCATTGGAGTACAACAGAAGATAAACTTGGAGATTCATTACAACGAGCTGGACATTTTATTGATAGGTTTTGATATATTCTTATTATTTCCATATATATTTATTAGATATAAATAGTTATTCGGGACAAATTGAAGAATATTTACATGAAGAAGATGCTTTAATGGATTTTCTAAAAGATCAATCATCTTATTGTGATGCAATAAAGTATATTTATTTATATTTATTTTAAAATAAAAACTAATCATATATATTGAAGATCAATTGTTGAAAAACATGAAGAATTAGTTGAAGATAATACAAAACAAGAAACAAAACTTGGAGTTAAACGAACGGCAAGAGATGATTATGTATGTATATTAATATTGTATAATTAACAAAAACAAAAAAAAACTAATGATGTATAAATATAAATAGGCAAATCATAAAATGAATTTTTCTGTTTATTCTCTTAAATCAAAATTATTTGGTGAAAATGAAGAAAGACGTTATGCTAAAATTGAATCAATGGATTCAGATATAAATGATGCTGTTTTACATTGTCAAAATTCTGATATTCGTTTAAAGTAAAAATTCTATTTAATATCTATTTAATATATAATTTATTTTCATTTAAATAATCTATTAATAAAGAGAATTCAATAAAAATGCATTAATTGAATTTGATATATATAAAAAAATGAAAGAAGAACAAATACGTGAAATTCTTCGTTCATATTGTCTTCTTCAAGTTCGAATAGCTAAATCGGTTTGTTTACAAAAACAAAAGAAAAAAATATTTATTTCATTTATTTATTTTTTTATTTTTAAATAAAATAATAGGCTTTGAAAAGTTGGACAAATATTCGAGATTGTTTTTCATTGGAACAAACACCATTATAAATAAATATTTATTATTATAATACATTCCATTTAATTAAACTATCTTAATTATATTCCATTATATCTTAGCTTTCTATTATTGAACAATAAAAAAAAAAAAAAA